AAGGAGAATCGCATGGAGGTGGCAGGAGATGTCTTGGAGTATACGTCGAGTCTTCGGCAGATATAGTATTGATCATGTTCCCAACGTGTAGCTTCCGGAGTCCACCTTAATGGGAATGAGGGCCCACTAGCCCATTTCGAGGACCACGGGATGACTAGGTTAGTACCCCCTAGTATAGGACACCGTCAAGAACCAAGAAAGATGATCCCAAGGACGCACATGTTTTAGCTCTCTACGAACGATATGATCAAGCTACTCACCTGAGAGCCCCCATTGATAGTACTACTATCGATCCTATAACCCGGTCTCCTAACTAACACCATGAGACCAGTAATATAGAAACCTATCAAGGTTATACTTTTGCCTTGTGCATAATCCACTTGAGATGGATGATGACAATCATGCCCGACTCAAGTTGGACCACCTTTCTTGGTTGTGTCGTCTTGATGAAGACTTGTAAATTGATCCCCCATACTCCACCATGGGAGAGCCTCTCTTAGGCACATCCTCACTCATCCATTATCACTAGAATGGATGACAAGCTTCAACCATGTAATATCTTCGCGATGCTCCAGTTGAACTTGCACAATTGAACCTTGATGACAATCACCACTTGATGTCATCCTCCATGGGTTATATGAGATCTTCCTTTTGATGCAAGCACATGGAAAGATACCTAACTCCACGTAGCAACCTCTCATAGATCATGGGTTAGTACACAAAGCGTAATGAACAATTGTTTACCATACCATGAGACCACTTAATCCCACTCGATACAACATCTACGCTTAGTGTGTTGATCAACTTGAAACCACTCTTAGCACTTCCTCTTGATCAACCTAGTCTATTTTCTTCTCTCTTCATTAAGACGGTGTCTTAAAATTAAACATGAATGGCCACCTAGTCTTCTTCTTCAATACATGCTTGCAGTAGGTTCGACTCTCACATGACCAATCTTTGGATAAGTCCTTGAATACTAGCTTGGTCAACAAATAATCTTATGTATTCAACCTTGAAGCCAACATATGATCTTCAAGCATTTCCTGTAGACAAACCCTCAAAGTATAATTCAAACCAACTATTAGTTCATAGGGATTGTCATTAATTACCAAAATCAAACATGGGGGCGCCATGCTCTTTCACTAATGTTAAAATATTAGTGACATGCAACACTGCACTAACAAACACCGTTGGTATCTTGTGCAAGTCACCGGTAAGTTTCTGCAGTAGTGTTGTGAAGTGCTTTCCGGCAGTCTTTCATTGGTAGAGTATTTTCCGAATACACTTGTTTGTTCAAAAATGATCTCTCGCTTTGCGGTTAGTTTTTAGGGTATAAGGAGACCTGAATACAAACAACTACACCGGAGGGGTTGCGCGTCTGCCAGTGCATTCGGACGGCAGACGGGTCATGGCCTCCGGCGAGCCAGCTACGACCGGCCTAGTGCCGGATCCATGCCCCATTTGGGCGGACGCAATGGATCCCCGACGGATGGAGTCCGAGCGCAGCTGTCCACGGGCCTCCTCCCGGGCGCGGCGGAGCGCAAGCCGGACGACCATCTCCTCATCAGGGCCGCGCGGGATGAGCTCGGGGTCGACAGATCTGGAGGTGAAGGACTCGGATCCGCTACCCACCATGCCGGAGACGACCGAAAGGAGACGGAGACGAGCTTGGGTGGCGGAGGGGAGTGGAGGGGAGAGGAGTGAAGTGGCTAGGGTTTGGTCCGGTGAGCGAATGGGAAGGATATTATATGGGGTTGGGTGGGACAGCGTGGGTCGGGTCCGATGTGGTGGGCGTGCCCGGGCGTGCCCGGGCGCGCCTGGGCGCCCCATATCCGCCCCATGTTTGGGCTAAATATGGGGGGTGTCGGTCAGCCCGGGCATTTGAGGGTCGTTTGAGGGGGCCCTCTGAGTCAAAAAAATCATGACCGGACAGTGACTGGGCGGTCTGCTGGGGCGGGTTTGAGGTGTCCGGCTGGAGATGCTCTTACATGTTTAATTAGGTCGGAACATGAGAGGTTCTCCACACAATTAGTCATGATATTTATTAATTGATTGACTTTATTTTCTTGTAGTATATGAAATGAAATAGTAACCTTGTGTAATACTCCCATCGTACCTGAATATAAGATGTATCGACTTTCATGCAATTTAAACTTGTGTATGTTTGACTAATATTATGTAATAAAATATCAACATCTACGATATATAAAATAGATATAATATGTAAATACTTTTCGTGATGCATCAAATGATACAATTTTTTTTTTGCGAAAAACTTCCAATCTATTCATCTTCAATCATGGCAGTACAACGAACACCAGAAATAAAAATTACATCCAGATCTGTAGACCACCTAGCGATGACTACAAGCACTGAAGCAAGCCGAAGGCGCGCCGCCGTCATCACCCCTCCATCGCCGGAGTCGGGCACAGTAGACAGTCAGGAAATCGTCGTGCTAAGGCCCCATAGGACCAGCGCACCATAACAGCAACCGCCGCCGATGAAGAATAACGTAGGTTTGAAGGATTCAACCCGAAGACACACGAACGTAGACGAACAACGACGAGATCCGAGCAAATCCATCAAAGATAGATCCGCCGGAGACACACCTCAACACGCCCATCAACGATGCTAGATGCACCGCCAGAACGGGGGCTAGACGGAAAGACCTTTATTCCATCTTCAGAGAGCCGCCGCCATCTCGCCTTCCTAAGCATGACACAAACCCTAACAAGACAGAAAAAAACGAGTGAAAATGGAGCCCTCCCGCCGGCCCTTGGCAGAATCCACCACGCCCCCATGGCCCTAGGGCCACCAGAGACGAGGCGGACTTGCGGCGGCACCGGCGAGAGGCAGAAACCCTAGCTTTCTTTCTTGGAGGAGGAGGAGCGACTTGGCGTACGTACTCTAATGATACAAATTTGACATTGTAGATTTAATATTATTTTTTAAATAATTTGTCCAAAATTGCATAAGTTTGATTTTTGGAAAAACTAATACATCGTATATTTTGAAACGGAGGGCAAAAGGTGTATTATCAACACTTGGTATATATATTAAAATTTGTCGTGGGGAAAGGGAGTCGCCCGCATCTTTTCTTTCCGCTCTCGTTTCTTGGGCTGGTAGAAAGGAGCACCACAGCTATTTCTTGGTTTTCCTATGGACACACCAAGAAAGATGATGTGCACTTTGGAAATTTTCCAATTTTCAAACCAGTCATGCAGTATTCCCGAATACCCGCCACAACCAAGTTGATGCCACAACTTGAATCTGCCAAAACAAAAATATACTCCTTTTGTTTAGGTGTGTAAGTCATCTTATAAAACCAAATAATCCCAAAACACTTAGGCACAGTGCATTAAATTCTACCTCGTTTCTTATTTTTTGACATATCAACTAATAAGAGACGTAGGGTGTGCATGGTTTCAATGACTTTAGACTATCAAACACGACATGCAGTGGTTAGTGCATTGTATGCAATGCTATCAATTAATAAATGAACATTAAGTTCTCTCGCTTTTTTCTCCCCTTAGTCACGGTGCACAATCTAAAATGACTTACTCACGTAAACGAAGGGAGTAGTATGATTTTGCGGACACTGCCTTTTGATGGTCCACGAGAACCTTAAAGAAATCCAGGAAGACGCCGAAAGTGCATACGAGGCACACCATTTCCTTCCTTTACATAAAGTCATCTCCTGGCCAGAACCACTACGCGCTAGTATAAAAAATATAAAATGGATGCATACGAAAGCAATCCATAAAAAAACCTTTTCTCCTAGCAGTACTAACCAGGGATTAAAATTCTGTACAAATTAGATCAACCAAGGATTTGGATTCTGTGGTAATATTTCTATCAGAACCCACCCAAAGGACCCTTGGGCTAAAGAATTACTTCCTCCGTTTCATACTATAAGAACGTTTTTGATACTAGTATAGTGTTAAAAACGTTTTTATATTTTGGAACAGAGGAGTATCTAATTTATTATTGTATTATCCGAACTGCACTTGTGAGGCTGGTTGTAATGGGTAGTATCATAAGTTAGTATCATGCATATGATACTAGTGTATGATACTACCTCCCTAATGCATAGTATCATATGTTAATATCATAGATGACTTTATTTATTGCCATGCATGACACATATACTAGTGTAGCATTTATTATGATACGATATCATGATATGATATTCAATCATCTTTTACTTCATTTAATTCTATGCCACCTCATTAAAGTTGCCTAGTTGGCTATAATACTCCCATTACAACCAGTCCGAAAGAAGATGAGGATCCGTTCCACACATCCATGTGGAAGGGTGTGCAGTGTGCAGTGAGGCGGAGTAAATTGGAGGCATTGCCAGGAAGAGGAGAGGCACGGGAACCCACGCCGGCTTGCTTCTTCTCGGTTACCCAAACAGTCGCACGGTCCAGACAAGGCATTGGATTCGGGGCAGCAATATACTACTACTGCTCCAGTACTCCTTGATTGTGCCCTGCCCCGATTCTGAAACTGGCAGGCAGCAGCTGAGCTAGTTGCTACTACTGCTCTGGAGCTCCAGCCTGAGGCCAGAGCCGCCGGCGCAGGAAGCGCGCGGTCACCTCCCCCTTCCGCTCGAGCTGTTCTTGGATCGCTCGTTCCTGAGGTGAGTGGGTCGAACCACTCTCAGCCATGTGCATGCTGTCACCGAGAAGAATCTGTAGCTGCCCTGTTCTTGGGTTTCCCAAGGTGGAAGAAGAACCGTCCGGTCAGTAGATGCGGAAAACCCGCGGATTTCGTTGCATGGATGTGGTTGCGCGGAGGGCGTCGTGTTCTTGCCATTCTTCTGCATTTTCTCTTTCTTTCTTCCGCAGAAACATTCGGTCCGTGTTCTTGTTCTCCCGGTGTTGCGCCTTCCGCAGGAGCTCTGATCTTGCACGAATTGCAGGCGGAGGAGGAGCGGCTCTCGAGATCTTGCCCGCCTGGGCCTGGCCGCGCTCCAGATGCGGAATTGACCTCCGGGGATGGAGGAATCGAGGCCGAGGAGGGCGCAGCCGGCGCCGGCGAGGATCCGCCCCGTGCCGATCGCCGTCACGCCGGAGGGCTTCTGGTGCTGCCCCTCGCCAGCGGCGCTGCACAAGAGCCTCAAGAACCCGCATCACCACCACGGCCACGCCGGCGGCAACAGCCACAGCCATAGCCACAGCAAGCAGCAGCGCAAGATCCCGTCGGCACCCCCATCCGTGGCGCCCTCCGTGCAGAACGCGCCGTCCGTCACCGACGAGCCAGGGCGCCGGGAAGCTCCCGACGAGCAGAACGCGGCGGCGGCCGAGATTGCGGCGGATAAGCGGCCGGAGCAGGCTGGCGACGCGGAGGCTCAGCAGCACAAGATCTGCGTTGGGTTCGGGCAGCCTGAGACGAGCGACCTGACGGTGATGCTGTATGGCAAGGAAGGGATTGCTGTCAGGATGAGTGTGCATAGGGACGTTCTCTCTGGAAGCAGCGCTTTCTTCGCCGAGAAGCTCTCTGACGGCGACAATGGCCATGGTGGCTCTCTGGTGCCATGCGTGGAGATCCATGACTGCGACGATGCCGAGATCTATGTGGAGACTGTCGGGCTGATGTACTGCGACGAGGCGAAGCACAAGCTGCTCAAGCAGAATGTGTCGCGTGTGCTTCGCATCATGAAGGTATATATGCATCTTCAGATACTCACATTTCAGTCCCGCAAAAAAAAAAAAGATACTCACATTTCAGTGGCTTTGCCTTTCTTTTGTTGCAAAGCTCATGTTGCTTAGTTTCTTAGATTAGATTTTACATAAGTTTCATTCTAAGAAGAACTGCATGGTAGTCAATTTTTCCCGAGCTCTATATAATCTTAGTAGTTCACGTACTCGGTAGCCCCCGCATGTTTGATCATGAAAGAAGTGGCTAAATTTGCAGGTTGCTGAATTACTCGGTTTCCATGCTTGTGTCAAGTCATGCTTGGATTATTTGGAAGCAGTTCCTTGGGTCGGTGAGGAAGAAGACAGCGTTGTGTCGTCCATACGACATCTTCAGAGCAAGTCTTATGGAGTTAGCCCTCTGCTGAAAAGAGTTACGTCTGACAGCCCGTACTCACCAACCGATACTTTGTCTCATATTATGGAGATGGTCTTGAAGAGCAATGATGACAGGGGACGTCGGGAAATGAAGGCCCTAGTTCTGAATCTTCTCAAGGATAGCAGCCGTTGCACAGATGGAACATCAGACATCTGTTGTGAACTATTTTACGGTTCGTGTCGAGGTTGCTTGGAAAGACTTCAGCCACTCTTTGTGGAAGCATCTGAAGCAGGTTTTCCTTCCCAAGTTACACGCCAAATAACTCTGGAGACTGACAATATCCTCTGGTTGGTTGAGATATTGGTTAACCAACGAATTTGCGATGATTTTGTGGTCATGTGGGCAAGCCAAAGTGAGCTTGCGTCATTACATGCAAAATTGCCTATCGCCTCTCGCCACACAGTTAGCAGTATAACAGCAAGGCTCTTTGTTGGCATCGGAAGAGGAGAAATGCTTCCGTCCAAGGACACTCGTCTTCTCCTCCTGCAAGTCTGGCTGCAAGCACTCATCGATGACTACTCATGGCTACAATGCAGCTGCCGGTCATTTGATAGGAAGCTTGTCGAGGAAGGGATTGGGCAGACAATCCTGACACTTCCTTTGGAAGACCAGCGGTCTATATTACTGTCATGGCTCGGGAGGTTCTTGAAATTAGGCGATAACTGCCCGAATTTGCAGAGGGCGTTCGAGGTATGGTGGAGAAGGACTTTCGTCAGACCTTATGTCAACCAGGCAAGGTAATGTCTGTCCTATGATCAAACAGAAGCTCATCTTGAAACGATAGGGAAGAGTAGTGATTGTAGCCCATAGATTCTTTCGGGGATTGTCGTGGGCAATCTGATAGTGGACATGAAACCCGGTGAGAATTTCAGTGGCTAGTTTTTCCTTACTGCGTAAATGTCGATGACACAGGAAATTTGTATGACTGCACGTTTTAGCCTATGATGTAAAACCGTATGCTTTTCCAGTAGTTATAAGAAAACCCTGATCAACAGCTCCTTCTCCATTGTACTTCTTTTTTACTTTCAAGTTGTTATCAAATATGACCATCATTTCCCCTTCTTGTTAGTTGAAGATTGCGCATGGATTGTCTAAGGACTGTACACATTATTTCCTTCTCCGGCAGAAATTCAGGGTTGTAAACAGCCCCATATAGCAATCAAATTTGGTAGGAATTGAATTAAGAACTACTTCCAGTGCCCACCGTATAATCTCAGAAAATCACTCCTGATATGACAAAAGTAGAAGTCACTTTCATAGTAAAAATCCTTTTTTCTCAGGAGCTTACAGATAGAAACAATTATGACTCTTATGCATGCATTTAGTCCCTTTCACATCTTTATATCTCATGGAATTTGTATCAGCCAAAAAAAAACCTCTGAAATCCCCCTGGATTTCCACATCAAGATGTGAACAACCCAAACAAGCTGATGTAGACGACACCAACAGATGCTCTCTGTTTCTGTAGACTGTACCTGCACCGAGGCTTCTCGAGAATGCGGAAATATTTCGAGAAACACGAGTGAAACGCATAACATTTAAAAGAAAATAGTATAGCTGTCTAAGGACAGTATAGATCATTTCTTTTTCCGGCAGAAATCTAGGGTTGTGAACAGCACATATAGCAATCAAATTTGGTAGAAACCGAATTCAGAACTACTTCCAGTGCCCACCATAATCTCACAAAATCACTGGCTGATATGGCAAAAGTAGAAGTCACTTTCATAGTAGAAACAGTGGTGACTGTGCATTTAGTCCCTTTCACATCTTTATACCTACTCACTGAATTTTTATCGGCCCAAAAAAAAAAATCCTCCGAAATCCCATTGGGTTTCCACATCAAGATGTGCACAACCCAAACAAAGCTGATGTAGATGACACCGACAGATGCTCCCTGTTTCTCTAGACTGTACCTGCATCGATGCTTCTCGAGAATGCACAAACATTTCAAAAAAACATAAGCGGAAACTGTAGAAACATTTATAAAAGAAATGGGATAAATGCTGACCAGAAGCATTCATATCAAAACTATGTTGGCCAATTGTTCTATATTTTCTTCAACTGTCTTGGTTGTGGATAGAGATGGTGGATGAACTTGCAGATGGAGGTTGCCTGGGGCATGATTAGGTGTGGAAGAAAGGAGCTATGTTCCTATAAATGTTCCTATCAGGTACCTATGACATGTGTGCATCAACTTGACACAAATAGTCTCCGTGGCACTGGATCAGTTGAAGCTGCGCCTTAGAAACGCCACGGAAAGCAACACAACCTTGCATTTTGTGATGGTGATGATGATGATGTGATGATATTTCGTTAACCGTCTTTGTCAATGACTAGTGAGGTATATGCGTGATAATTAACCTGTATTTCATGGAACCGGAGGCACGCGTAAATCCCTCGCACATGATGATTCAGGGGATTGTTTGGAATGCAAAGAGTTTTCCTGAAAACAGTTCAGTTCCTGCATGAATCAATTAAAATTCTGCTAATATCTTCAAAAAGTGAGGAAGGGGAAGAAAGCTTTCAGACTACTTCCTCATCGAAATCAATGAGAAAATGTGACTTCCCCCCCCATTATTCAGGTTTTCTTTTGGTATCATGGGCAGGGTTGAATTTTTGGCATGCTAAACTTGTGTAGTCCGTTCTGTTTCGTCTGGGGACACAGCAGAAGTTCAATGATAATCTGGATTCTGGGTTAGTGTCTCTACTAAGTTATCTGCCAAACATGAGCTGGGCCAACTGCCCCACATGGTGCAGTGGAGCTTGCTTGGTTATGCATGCATACCTAATCATCTACTATAATTAGGTGATGCCGACTACACATGCGTGCTGCATCACTGCAGTATAGACAATATTTGTGTGCGCATCTGCACGTTACTGTTGTTTTTGTTGTTGTTGTTCTTTTCTCTTATTTTATGCAAGAGTGGTTCTAGACTTCTAGTGGTGCTTAATTCAAGTGCTGTGCAGAGTAGTACAGGGCATGACTTTGATGAATTATCCTATTGGATATTATTGTGAGCTGGTGAACCTAACCAGAGTAAAATAAGGGGCTTCAGTGCCCCTAAGTCTCCAAGCTGTGTGTGGTGGTCAAGGAGAAATTTTATTTTATTGTTGCATCATTTGATTGATCAATTTCATTTCTGAGCCTAGACAAACTATTTAGGATCCTCTTGATATATATTTTTTCCCATTTCGACAGGGAGTAGATGAATATAATGTAAATCGACGAACTACACTTCTTTCATCACGTGGTTATGGAATAACTATGCTTAATACTAAAAAGGTGTGTTGCTGAGTCAGTGTTATTAGCCCTTGGATGTTTTTTTTTTTGAAAAACCCCACACATATATTAATTAATTGACACAAATATTCGTACAATCATTCGTTACAGCACTTGCCACGCAGGGCGGAACACTATTAATAAGAATATCATCAGACCTATTTATAAAACTAAATTTTGCAATCTCATGCGCCACCATATTCGCCTTCCTGTTAATCTTGGTGATTTTTAAAGTACTCATCATCTTGGAGACACTCAACGCTTCCTTCTTCAAATCCACAAGGTTTGACCTGTCCAGGTTATCATTTGCAAAAACCGAGGCCACAAAAAAACAGTCAGTTTCTAAAATAATGGGCTTGTGAAGAGTGATACCAATGTAAAGGCCTGAGATGGTTGCTCGAAGTTCCGCTTCCTCAGCACAAAGACATGAACCAATATAATCCCAAGAAGAAATAAGAACTTCTCCAGAATGATTTCTAACAACCACCCCAACGCTCGCTGCGCTAATGGCCTCCACAAAACTTGCATCAACATTAATCTTGAGGAATTCCGGAGTGGGAGGCAGCCATGGAACACAAATCCTCTCCACATTACTAATGGGTTGTAAACCATCAATCACACCCTTACATTTATTACTTACCTCTACCTTCGTTTTTGCATGACAAGATGAGAATGAAGCCCAATAATTTTGAATAAAACTCACTGAGGCCGAGATAGATTCCTTTCCTTTACCAAAAATCAAGTCATTTCTCAAATGCCAAGCTCTCCATAATATGAAAATTGTTTGCTCACGCATAGGCGAACTTAACTGATCCAATAAAATAAGTAACCAGTCCGGCCCCCGAACAGTTTAAAATGTCTTCATCCGGCAAATTCCACACCTCTCTCAAACTCATACGGAATGCACGTATCTTGGGACAGCATACCAAAGCATGAAAAACACATTCATCTTCAACACCACAAATTGAGCACGTACCTAGGATAGCTTGATGGTGTTTTACTCTGTTAACTTGTACGGCTAGGCTATTAGATGCAGCCCTCCAAGCAAAGATTCTAATCTTCTGAGGAACATTAGCCTTTCAAATAATATTCCAGAGCCTCCTTTCCCCATTAACATATACACTGGAGTTCCCCGGTGCCATGTCCGAGTCCTTAATATTCAGGGCCAACCTATACGCACTCTTCACTGAAAACAACCCATTTTTCTCATGGTGCCAGGCGATGAAGTCACCCTCGTTCAAATTCAGAATGCGTAACTTCAAAATTTCCTCCGCATCATGAGGGTAAAACAGATGCCTGATTAAATTCTCATCCCATCTCCTTGAGCCACTCATGAATAAATCAGCAACCCATTTGACCCTCATTCTGGTCCTCTTAGCAGAAATTTTTAGGCCAGAATCCCTCGGGAGCCAATTATCCCTCCAAATATTTATACTAGCACCATCGACGACTCTCCAGATGATACCCTTTTTCAATAACTCGAGTCCATGCACAATACCTTGCCATGTAAGCGAAGTCGCTTGAGGGAAGACAGTATCAATAAGATGCCCATGAGGATAATATTTAGCTTTCATCACCTTTGCACACAAAGAGTCCGGAAAAACCAATAAACGCCAAGCTTGTTTGGCCAAAAGTGCTTGATTGAAAAGCCTGAGGTTCCGAAATCCCATACCCCCTTCACCTTTTGACTTTGTTAATTTTTCCCAAGCCAACCAATGAGTTCTTCTTCTATTCTCCTCATCACCCCACCAAAAATTCCGTATAATTTGAGATAGTTCATCACAAAGAGTCATAGGGAATTTAAAAATACTCATGGCATAGACCATAATGGCCTGAATAACAGACTTAATCTAGACTTCCTTCGCCCCGCTAGAAGCATATTTTTCGATCCAGTCTGAACCCCTCTTAAGAGCTTTATCTTTTGTATATTGAAATTTGCCGGCCTTCATACGACCTTCTGGAACTGGGAGGCCAAGGTATTTATCCTCAAACCCATCGCACGTGATTTTAAGGATAACCAGAAGAGACACCTGAATCTCAATAGGACACTTTTTGCCAAATAAAATGGAACACTTGTCTGGACTTAATAATTGGCCTGTACCCTCCTCATAAGCCGTCAAAATATCTTTAATAGCCAAAGCTTGATCAAGAGAACCCTTAAAAAATAGGAGACTATCATCGGCAAATAATAAATGAGATATACCTGGAGCATGTCTGTTCAGTCGGAAATCTTGGATAGTCCCTCTTGCTGTCGCATCATTGAGTAATAGCGAGAGGGCCTCAGCAACAAAGAGGAATAAGTACGCCGATAATGGATCCCCTTGCCTCAGCCCACGTGAAGGATGAAAAGACTCTAACAACTGGCCATTAAAGCGCACCGAGAATTTCACTGAGGTAACACAAATCATAATCCAATTAATCCAGATTGGATCAAAACCATATGCACGAAGCATACATTCCAGGAATTTCCAGTCAACACGATCTATGCTTTAGCTAGGTCCAGTTTATATGCACAGTATTCTCCACGAGAATCTTTCAAAGTATTCAACGAGTGCATACATTCAAAGGCGATAAGAGCATTATCTGAAATTAATCTTCGGGGGATAAAAGCACTTTGGGTAGGGGAGATCATACCATCTAGCAGCGGTCTTAGCCTATTGACAAGGCACTTTGAGATAATTTTGTATATAACATTGCAAAGGCTAATAGGACGAAAATCTTTCATCGACTGGGGATTCTTAATTTTAGGAATAAGAACAATAGCTG